GAATATGATGATGATGAATATGATGATGATTATTCGCAAAGACAAAAAGTGGTGATCAGTCCAAAGCAGGGTCGTGGAAGCATCACTGATACAGAGATCTTTTTCGCAACGTTGAAAGCTTCCGAAGACAGCAGCGCATGCTCAATCTGGCTTTCCCCTAAAATGAACGTCTGTTCAAATCACGCTTCACAAGAAATATAGTAATAATACCTATAATAATAATAATAATAATAATAATAATATTAATAATGTTAATAATAACAATAACCAATCATTTATTTAACGTGCTCTGGAACAACCATGCGGTGTTAGCGGAGGCGCACTTGAAATGAAAAATGAAAATACACAATACAATAAAAACTACAAAAACCAACAAAATTGAAATAAATCAAACGAAAACATTCAAAACGCAATGACAAAAAGAAGTCAGCTCTAAATGGGAAGAATAAAAAAGAGGACGTGAATCATAAAAGGATAGTGAAAAATAAGGGAAATATACGCAAGTATGGGAAGACTTCCTGAGAAACGGAATGGGAAAAATCTGTACATTGTGCGAAAAATAATTAAAACACATGACTTTTAACTTCCCAAAAGCAGGGTATGATCAGAACAGATGCCGTAGTGAATGGCTACGAAAGAGTCCAGCATCTGGGAGCTAACATAAGTGCAAAGCTAAGATAAAACAATCGTAGCGAACTGTGAAAAAACATCAAGACCATAACAGTTAACATTGTATAGCATTTGCATTTTGTCCATGGTAGAGCGCCGAAATAAGTTGGCAGGTACATGAAAGATCTATTCACACTGGTTCACTTATGCGGAACGCGAAAATATACAAATCCCAGAAGCGAAGGGCAGGATATCATGCCGTGAACTTGTTCGTAAATAAATAAGGGGTTAGAAGGATGTCGATTTCAGTGAAGGGATGGCGATGATAATAATCTGGTAGTGTTAGAACGAGACCCCGAGTAATTTATAGCAAAACTACGGTTGTAAACGCTTATATATTATTCTGGACGGGCTCAATGGCGTCACTGCCAGATTTAGCGATGTCCTTCCAGGTTGATTTGTGGGGTTTAACGTGCGAGGACCACCATATGACTATGAGAGACGTCATGGTGGAGAACTCCGAAAATTTCGACCACCTGGAATTCTTTAACGTGCACCCGAATTGGAGCACATTGGCCTACAACATTACCGCCTCCATCGAGAATGCAGCCGCCGCAGCCGGTATTCGATCCCGCAACTTCCTGCGGGTCAACAGCCGATTACCTTAGCCACCAGACCACCGTAGTAGGGCTGTCATTTCAGATCAAAGAAGCATGTAATAATAAAAATATAATAATACAAGCCAGGGTTTATTGTCCCAAGAAGGCGATATGATAACGAGAGGCATCGTACTGGAGGGCTCCGGAAATTTCAAGCACTTGGGTTTGTTTACCCTAAACCTAAAATCAAGTACAAGGGCCTCAAACATTTTCACCTCCATCAAAAAGTTAGCCACCAAAGCTTCGATCCCTTCTAGCGACTTTCCTGTTAGCAGTCGAGGCCGTAATCACTGGGCCACCGCAGTGAGGCTGCCCCAAACTGCTGCAAAAGTTAAAATGAGCCACGAAGTAGGGTCCCTTATCGGCATTCTCGTTTATATTTGTTCGTGTTGCCTGAGTCACTCATTGACGCTTCTCCCCGTTTGACCAACGTGGGTCTTAACAAACGAAAGTGATATGCACAAAAAAAGAAGTTAACTTCTTTGGCGCAAACAATACGGAAAAAAGGAAAAAAGAAGGCGAGGAAAGAAACAGATTGACGCCAAACTAACAACTCTGAGTGATATGACATAAAACTCGTGGATGACACACGGGATATAGGAGACTCCGTTCCGTGTCGGATATGGAAACCTGCTTAGCTCACACCTTTGGTGTGGCAGCTTGTTCGGCGCAGAAAACGTCACGGAACACCTTGCCTGTCGGCACGTTTCTTGCTGTGTTGATAAGAAATCGCCAGTTATCTGACCATGTCGCTTGCGACCTCCGCACTCTTAGCGAATTTTGTTTGGCCAAGCCGCTTAAGTCAGCAATGACTTAAGGAGCCTGCATACTATATTATCTGATTATCAAAGTTTTCTTCCGTCGTGTGAGAGCACGGCTTCCTGAAAAATAATTGTATGACATAAATTGCAAGAAACTCACTCAGGTAACCCGCAGAAAAGTTTAACAAAACTGCTGATAAATGAGCCATTTTAGGGCTCATAATGGCTCTTTTAGCAGTTGTGTAATGCGAATCGAATCGACATTGATCTCAGGCAGAAACCAAAATGAGCATGTGGGGCGGGCTTCAGACTATGCTCACATTGTGAAAAGAGATCATGAATCAGCTGCACTGGCTCGTCCCTCAAGTGCTTTTTATTTATTTATTTATTTATTTATTCGTTTATTTTATTTATTTATTTATTATTTATTTATTTATTTATTTATTTATTTATTTATAGAATTACCTGTAGCACAACGAGGGCATTATTGCAGTGGGGTAACACGATTAATCACGTAAAATAACATATGTTTACACAAAGACAAAGATGAAAGAATGAGGTAATAAGAAAGGGGTGTGGGCAACAAAGAGGCGACATATGGAAAATTTGAATGTAAAAACAGCTGGAACTGGGAAAATGTTTTACAATCTGCTATACCTTTAGGAAGTCTGTTCCAAAGCGTGGAGGTGTGAGGAAAGGATGAATAATGAAACATAATTGTGCGGCATCGCGTTTCAAGTACCTTACAGTCATGATCACAACACATGGAGATCAAGTGAGGGAGGGGGGGGGAATGTACAAGTTTTTGTCAATACCAGTGAGATCTGAGTAAATACAAAAAAATGTTCCAATTTTGTTTCTAAGCGGCGTTGGGCTAGGGTTTTCCTGCAAAGATTGTCTTTAATTAATGAGATGCTGATTTTATAGTTCTAATTACCAGAGACAAATCTGGCTGCGCTGTTCTGGATACGTTCACGTTTATTTACAAGACAGATGGGGTCTGGGTCCCATGCTGCGCAAGCGTACTCGAGTAATGGATGAACGCTCGTATTATAAAGGTTTTCTTTCACGCTCCTGGCGGCTTTGTGAAAATTGCGTCTAATGAGGCTAAGCATTCCGGAAGATTTTAAAGTAACATGTTCAATATGCCGAGTCCGTGACAGATTTTCTGAAAAATAAACGCCAAAATATTTGTAATGCTGTACCCGTTCAAGTGATGTATCGTCCAAATGATAATCCGATCTCAGAGGCAAACGTTTGCGCGTAAAAGATAAAAATGACATTTAGTACTATTCAACGCATACACCACGTGGAACACCAAGTTTGAGTTTTGTTTATATTGGTTTGTCGGGTAATGACATCGTGTTCGTTTATTATGTTTCTGTAAATGACGCAGTCATCTGCATATAATCTGACATAGCAAGGAAGACCCTGCACAATATCATTGATATAAATCAATAATAACGAGGGTTCCAAAACAGACCCTTGAAGCACACATGAAGTAACTGTTAATGCAGTTGACGTACAGCCATTATTTGATTACAATTCGCTGTGTTCGCCTATCTGGTACGCCCATGTCATCCCTCTTTGTGATAAACTTGTTGTGTGCGCCTGCGCGGTGAGGCTACCTTGGAACTCTGTATGCAATGACAATGAAAGAATAAAACACTTCATAGCAATCGTTTGTGTCGCATCTTTCTATACGACGTGGTTTAGTAGAGACACTGCGTTTTCTGTTCTTACTACTTACCGATGTTCACGTTATTGTTTTAATTCAACCTATTCCCGATTCTTCCCTCGGAGTGCGATGCGGCATTTGCATTCATAGCGTTTTTTGTAACCTATACGACTGTATCTTTCCTATAACTTTTGTGTTAATATTTTGAAGCAATATCTTTATAACGTAATATCTGAGGAGCAATGTGTGTTTGGTGTAATGTTGACAAATATGGTTTGAACATCCCTTCCATTGCGGGGTGTGCACTTTTACACATTGACCTTCGACGCTTGTCGTGGATGCGTAGTTACATCAGAACTGTGACGTGCTTGTATGTAAAAGCAATTTTCCATGACGGAGGAAATGTTTGTGGCCGTTCACTTTGGTTCCCTAGACTGCAGCATCTCTCATAATCATATGGTTTTTTTTTTTTTCAGATCTAAAATGCCGAGTACTATTATTAATTCAATAATAATAATAATAATAATAATAATAATAATAATAATAATAATAATAATAATAATAATAATAATAATAATAATAATAATAATAATAATAATAATAATAATAATAATAATAATAATAATAATATATTATTATTATTATTATTATTATTATTATTATTATTATTATTATTATTATTATTATTATTATTATTATTATTACTTTTTTTTCTTCGTAAACTGAGTCAACAACTTCATCATTTAGCTTTATTGTGCGACAAGCGGTTGCACATGGCTACTTGGCTTGAGAAACTTCCCTGTTCATTGAGTCGATTCACGAGCCCCATTCACGAAGCCACACAAAAACATAGTCTTTCTTTGTTTGAAATTCACAACAGGAATTATAAAGTTGTTATGTAGTACCTTCCTGAAAGTAGAAATAAATTATACAATTAGGGCTTGTTTTTTTTTTTTTGCAAGACGCTTTATGAATCAGGTATCATGCCAATAGAAGTGTAGTGGATGTCGTTACAAGTAATTGTAATGTAAACTGCGACGAATGAAGAGTGGACAAAAAAGTAACATGCCATGGCCAGTTGTTCAAAGGTCGCAGGTTCGGTCCTTGCCCACGGCAATTTATCTTTTCGCCCACATTTCATTCTTCACATTTACGATTAAATTACTCGTATAATCCCCTATTTAATTCTTGGAATGATTGTCTGTTAGTACTCAGTATTATTGAGCCAGAAACATGAATGTAACACAAAAAAACAGAACATGACGAGACGTCATTGTTGACTAGCCACAATACCTTCATTCTGGCGCCAGCTATTGGAAAACCAACGCTATTGCAAGAGATTTCTCCTCTCGGGGGCAAGGTCATACATCCTCCTGCTTCACTCATTCCGTAGCTGTTGCGAAGCTCCTCCAACTGGAAGGTGGTTGTCAGCTCTTCTGCCAAGCCTGGTGGTGGCAGGAAGGCAATCATGGTAATCCTTTTGACTTTCTTTCTAAGGAGAGCGTCCCAGTCTTGAGATGTTTTCATAAATTCTAGTATCCGTTTTAGTCTCGAAGGAACTTCAAGCATTGCCACAGTCTGAAAAATTCAAACGAAACATTCGACGCATTTCAACGAACGAAGAATGACGATTCGGGGAAGATCGTTCTTAAAATTCATATTGTCTACGTTTAGGTTGCAAAAATTAGGAAGAGTTTGTGCTCGTTGGTGGTTTAGAAAGTTCCATCAAAAGTATGATTGATAATACTGTAATTGTAAAGGTATCTTTGCCTCTTACATATAATTCCCCAGTGTTGACCCATTATGTGTAAACTGTATGACAAAAGGTGGCATAAAGAGTTGATGACAAAGCTTAGTTTTAAAGTAGAATATGCGTTGAAAGTACCAATTTGTGTAAAAGCGTTGTCCTTGTAGGTATTTCTTATTGTTTCCCTACTACTATGACTGTTTTTAGTCTTTAGAAAACATTTTTATTCGCATACACACATCTGTTTCGAATATAGCAACGCTTATCTAACCACCAAGACAGAGGACATTGAGGGTCGACGGCAATGCTAGGTCCTCATGTCCACGATGTGTGCGTTCAAGTCGCTGAATCTTATGAAGGGCTTGTCCTTGTATATATTATATACAGTTTTGTCACAATTTGGATCAATATTATTCTATTGTTTCATCTTTATTGTGTATCAGATCCACGCATCTCCGAGTGATGAACATGGACGGGGGCTGGGGAACCTCGACCATAAGGTGTTTAACCCCTTAAGTGTGTTTCCTGCAAACTACGCTAGAGCTTCTTCGTTACCAAGATACTCAATTTCTCAAGCAACGTTTTCATTGCATAGTTAAAATAATGATGTGAAGAAAGAATTGGTTAGAGTTACCCCCTCTCGAGTTTATATATAATCATTACCTTGCAGTCCTTTATTATGCCAAAAACGTCTAGAGGTACGGCGTGACACGTCTTGCTGATCGCAACGGTACATCCAATATGGAGGGCAAGAAGCCACATGCTGAACACCGGGAGACAGCAAATAGCCATGTCACCGAGCAAGACATCAGCCGGAGAGAGCACTCCAGCTAGCGCTGTGAGAGAAACGGTTTCGAGAATATTAGTACGTCGTTTGAATGCGAGGTCTCTTTCTTGGAGAGTATTGTCAGTAAAAAGATGAGTACAAGAAGTTTGGTGAATGGTCGTGATATCCTAAGCCGAAATTGTGGAATTATTAAGCTTCAGATTTAGTAGTTGAATGCGGTAGCGATATCCTTTAATTCCCTAGTCCGTACTTCAATCCATTTCGTCCATACGTTTTAGTGTATGACATTACTCGAGAAGTTTAAATTGTGTATTACTACAATGTTATTGAATAGGTTGAAAGGGCCTTCTGTCGGAAAAGCTTAGCTTTCGCATATGAATGCATTCTGTTTATTAGGTAGCATGCTTCGAACAACGAGCACGTATATGCATGAAATTTATTTGAGCTCTCTATACACGCCCTAGTGGTTCAAAGGGAAGCCATGCTCTAATGTGTGTGCCTTTTGTAATGGGTGCCTTGGTTTGAACTAGGAAGTCATTATGACCATTACATGTTGTCATGCGCGATGATAATCCACGATAGCACTATGCAACATTACTGAGATATAATGTATTGTTTTGCACATGTGTTTGCAAAGCATGAATGCCATTTTCAGTGCACTTAAAATCAGAGGAAGTTCTGTTAACTCTATTTCCAAGCAGTGGCATGGCTTTGTTATGGAACCCTTGCTCGCCACGAAAACAGCGTTGGTTCGTTCTTCACTCGAATTAGTAAGTTTTTTTTAATTTTTTTGTTTGTGTCTTTGTCGATGATTTGTCACGCACAAGAGAATAACGTTTTGTTTAGTTGATTTTAAGTACCAACTGCGCTGACACCGCAATTTTTGCGAAACAAGCTTTTAAACACTATCGCGTTCAAATAACTCTCATTAGACTCGCATTTTAAGGATTTTTTTCGGTTCCACAAGGAATACCCACGGAATACTTAACGCAGCACTCATCGAAGCCTGGCCTTGCCGACAATAATTATCAGAGGCTTCATCACAAGGAAGCCTACGAATAGCTGGAAGCCATAAGAAAAAGGCTAGAACAGTGCAAAAAATAAGGATGGCAATACAGAAACATTTGAGACAGGACGTGAAAGCAGAGATCACAGTGGGTAGAAATTTTGTAGATAATAGAAGCTGCCTCACATATTCGGTTCGCTGACTACCGCAACTCCACTCATTTACTTGACACTATACCCTGAGATAATGCTTAAAATATTGAGTTGTTTAACGCGTCATTGTTTTTGTAAAGTTTTATACACGCAGCAGACAAAGACATACTCTAGGAACTAATTTGGTCGTATATATTAGTGTAAGGTTGAGAATCTTGTGAAGGATATGAAAACGTTATTGGGACTCAAACGTTAAAATATATGACGACTGTATAAATATTTCGCCAAGGAGTATTTCGCCTTTGTTTGTAAAATTAGACACTAGGAAGTCAGCAGGTCCGGATTACTTCTTAGCCGAATGAGTTCCTAAGACTGTGTTTCGCGAACTTTATTCAGAAAATTTAGTGTATCGCTCCACTACGGAAAGGTGTGAAGAAAGAAAGTGGCTGTTGGTAAGAGCAGTGCTTGTATTGAAATAAGGAGAAAAAGAGATAGAGGAAGGGCAGGGAGTATATGTAGACGAACTCATTGTACGCAACTACCGCGCAATCTCTATTACATGCAGCTCGTGCAAAAATTAGAGCATGAAACTTCAAAGCAGTCATCATCATCATCAGCTAGACGATGATTGCTTAAAAATTATATGCTCTATTGTTTTTAAGCAATCACTGAAGTATAAATATTGAAGATAAAAACTAAACACTTGCGCGAAAGGTGCCACAAAGTCGCAATGAAAAGCTACAAGATCCGCCTTACAGAGCCTTTCCTTAACACTTATTGGGTAACTGCCTGCAAGCACACTTTCTGGGTACTCACTACGGTAATAAAAATATTTTTCTGGGTAGGTGGCTGGCATTCTCTTTGCAATTTTTCATCATTCTTCTGAGAAGCGTCGTATCCTTTAAACACTTGCAAGGAATTTTGTGCCAACTGTTCCTTCAGTCGCTGACGACGATCACGAATTGTGCCTGAAGTGGGTATGTGCCAAAGTTAATTGGTGATCAAGAACAAACTTTTGCAAAGAGTTGGAGCATTAGACGAACCACTCCTTACGCTATTCGCATTGTATGACGCCTGGTTGTTCTTTTGCTGTTTTAAGAGGTTTTCAAGTGCGAAGCATTTCTTCGTGAATTTTAGTGACTTAGGGTTCTATCTATCTATCTATCTATCTATCTATCTATCTATCTATCTATCTATCTATCTATCTATCTATCTATCTATCTATCTATCTATCTATCTATCTATGTAGCCGATCAAAACATTTAGTTCTGTAGGCCGTTTCAGTAATGGTATCAATACCAAAGTTGGCATGCATAACATTACTGTATGATGAGCAAAAGTGACTACAGTCATAACATAAAATTTATGACATGTATGTCATGAATGTCATGATTTATATTCCATGGTCTTGCTGCTCTTGTGGTGGTTTCATTCACATGACATGTAGGAAAACTGGTATGGCATGACATGACTTTATGGTGAAAACAAGCTGCAGACCCCAACCTGGAAATCATGACATGCTTGTCATGTAACAACATGACTACACGATACACTCGTCATGCGCTGGTGGCCGTTTCGCAAGCATTGAATATACTAAATTTTGTATTACGGTACGTGAATGGTAGACGAAGCTTTGCGACTGGTGCAAACATGATAATCATGATATGTGTGTCATGTAACAACATGAATACATGCCACGCTCATGATGCGCTCGCTGGCGTTTCGCGAGCTTCACATTGCCATATTTGATATTACGACATGTGATTGAATGATGAAGGTATGTGACTAGAGCAAACATGATAATCATGAGAGGCGTATGCTGCAAGAACCTGATTTCCCGCTACACTCAAGGCGCCAATACGCTTTGACGATACCCGGAGCCTGCACGCCCGCGTTTGTTTTGTCGCGTCACGCCAGCGATGCCACACTGCAGGCGCCGATCTGCCTGCAGGCTCGCGCCGCGCTTCGTTCCTTTGACGCATGTGCGTTGGATCGCACCCGGCGTCCCTTGGTCACGAAGTGAGACAGACGCGGTGCTCTCTGAATAATGCCGTAGCCGCGAAATGCAGCAAGTTACATCTTACACCAGTTGCCGCTAGGCAGCGCCGCCGGACGCTAGTCTCATCGGTCGCGCATGGTGTCAGACTACAGAGTGCTCGTGTGTTGCTAGCGTAGCGTCTCTGTGCCCAGCGTGCGCGCGCGTCAGTGTTATTTCAGAGTATTTGGGTCCTTCATGATGTGATCACAGCCGTTTCACTAGCTTCACATATAGTAAATTTGGTATTACGGGACGTGAAGACGACGAAGGTGTGCAACTGGTGCAAACATGATAATCATGGAATGCGTGTCATGTAACAGAATGACTACGCCATGCTCATGATGAGCTTGTGGCCGTTTCGCTGGCTCCACATATACCAAATACCAATGGACGACGAATGTAAGTTACACGTCCAAGCATGATAATCACGATATGCGTGTTATGTAAACATGACTACCTGCTATGTTCATAGCGCACTCGCAGCCGTTTTGCAAGCTCAACATAGTATCAGCAAGATAACTGACACATTGAAACATGATAATCATGGCATGGATGTCAGGTTATACTGAAGTGCACGCTACGTTCATAGCACGCTCGCGGCCGTTTCGGTAGCTTCACATAAACCAAGCTTAGTATCAGGCGACGTGAAAAGATGACGATGGGAAATAACACGTCCAAACACGATAGTCATGACATGCAAGTCATGTACGACATAATTTAACTCCGCCTCGTAACGTTTTCTTGGTTTTAAAGTGACTCGCAACCTTTCTCATATGGGCTTCACATATATACGATTCCTACTGAAAGTGGAATTTGTCAAGTTTTACTCTTATTAACGTGATTATTTCCCGACATCAAGCCTGCCTAAAACAAGTTTGCTTCTCAGGAACAGGGTTAGCTGAGTGTTTGAATGCTTGGCTGGCACGCAGTGGACCTGGCCACGAGTTCCACTGTGTCCTTCGTACTGGTTTTTTTTTTGGTATTTCGTGCATAGTGTTTATGCAAACTGGCGGGGCGGCAGCAGACAACTACGGCGCTGCGTGTGACCCGAGTTGTGATCTCATAACAGCTTTCACTGCAATATATTCCTTTACGTGGTTTCCAAAAACACCCGTCAAAGGTCACCCAGATTTTCTAAACAACACGCAAATTTGCATCATCAGGTAATCCTAGAGAGAAAATACATAAGAGCCTAATACTTTAGTCAAAATAATTTGATATTGTTCTCATGCCAAAATAATCAAAACTTTCATGAGCTTGGTGTTGCTTTTGAGAGTATGAAACGTCTCACTGCTTATTTGCTTAGCAAATTAGCAAGTAGTTACCAAACCAAGCTCAAGTCTCATACATTGCCTGTTTCGTCCGGGATACCACAGGCATCAGTGTAGGGTCCAATTTTTTTGGTGTACATTGATACTATTGCGAAAGCTGTTCACTTTTTTGTTGACGTGAGACTTCTCGTGGATGACTTACTGTTATATACGCGTGTACAAAACATTGCTGACCAGGTTTGTCTCAACGATTCTTTGTGTGCTGTGAACGAGTGGTGTAAGATATGGGGTACAACATTCATTTCGACAAGACTACATTGTATGACGGCATCAAATGAAAAAGCACCCGTGACTGTTACACATAAAATTAAAAGTGAAGCGATCAAATCCAGTAAATTATCTCAGCCGTCACAATGCACAAGAAATCTTCGAAGCATATTCAACATATTTGTAGTTCGTCTGTACATAAGCCTGATCTCATAAAGCAAACTCTAAGAGCACTTTCCCTCAGATAATGATAATGACTCAAAAACAGTGACACGCCCATTTCTATAGTATGTCGGTATCCTATTGGTCACACAT